TGGCCTATTTAAAAAAATCGGCAGAACGTATAGTGTACTTTTTTTTTCAAAATCTTCCCATACTCATGTTGCCATTCTTCATATTGGTACCTTCCGTTTGATTAATTTTGATTGGTTTTTTGAAGTTCTCTCGTTTTTTTCCAAATAACTAGGCAAACGATATGTGATGGAATTGGCAAATACTTGTGTTACTTGAATTAGAGAAACAGTGGAATTGAATATAATTTGTATTCTCACCAGTTTCTAAGTTCTTCTGGCATCGCTGATGGTTGTTAAGTTTAGATCATCTCTAATGCAGATAATGGAGAGTTTTCTATTCATTTTAGAGAAAATGAATTATATAGGTACGACAGGAATTGCTAAAAGAAAACTTTGTATAATTTCAATACTCTGATTATTTCACAGTACATCACATTGGTAAAGTACTAGAAGAAGACAAAAATTACAATTACAAGTTGTTTTTCCACGATTGATTCTAAAAGTTTTTGAAAATTGATTAAGTCATTATTGTGAAGATTCGTAAAATACTCAACGAATTATGTGATTATTATTATCATCATGTAATTCCACTGAATATATCAAACCTATTGTGAGTAAAAAAATGTTAACATTCTTATAAAACAATAGTTCGAAGAGTGTACATAATTATTATAATTCTGAAGCGACTCACATGTAATTAATATAAGTAATACCTGAGGTTAAAAATGTTAACCAGAAACAACTATTCATTGTTCTTCGTTATTGTCTCACTCAATTTTCACATATAATGCTAGTGTTGAAAGTCGGTATAAGAAATCTTACCTTGATATTTACTATTATGAAGAATGCAAAGAGCATTTTGGCACTCCCTTTGGATTCGATACTGAAGATCACTTATTACCTATTGAAAATTCTCTGGGATTAACGAACAATATATTTCGGACTGATGTTACATTTTGAAAACCGTATAGAGTGCTCGTAGATTTCCAATAGCATTAGTATGTAAACAACAAATTCATACTTAGTATAAAAAGATTGTTCAGTAATCTAACTTACCTAGTCTATTTTACTGGAATATCCCTTATCAAAAAATAAATAAATACAAGTAACTTTTTGAATTGAAAGGAGTAGGTACCAGTGACGGCTCGTGCATTGGAGAACAGAGGAGGCTAAAGTCATAAAGTCTATATTTACACACAGAAAAGCCCGCCAGAGGCGCGAACATTTTTATGTTGTTGCACGCTTTGCTAAATACTAAAGTTAAGGCATGGGCATGAGGAGCTATGGAATTTATTTTAGTTTGTGAACCATTTAAATGGCCGGCCATGACCGCAGCCCCGTCATATGTTTGCGCAATTAACTTTTTCCTAAAATTATAGGTGTCACACGTTTCTTGTAATCTCTCAATCCAGCGCGCTACTTGGCCCTCGGGATTTTTGAACTGCAGAAGCCATTTGAGAGCTGCATGGTCCGTTCTCAACAGAAATCGTCTTCCATACACGTATTTGTAGAAATGCTCTACACCTTTGACTACGGCCAACAGCTCTCGCCTGGTGACACAGTAATTACGCTCTGGTTTACTGAGCGTTTTGCTGAAGTAGCCAATAACTTTCTCCTGTCCATCCTGGATTTGAGAAAGGACTGCTCCAAGTCCCACGTTGCTGGCGTCCGTATCCAAAATGAACTTTCCGTCAGGTAAGGGATAGCTCAAAACGGGAGCGTTGATCAAAGCTCTTTTCAGCTTCTTGAATGAGTCTTGGCATTCCTCAGACCACTGGAACTGGATCTGCCCTTCTGTGAGGCGAGTCAATGGTTTGGCGAT